CCCCCCGTGCCCCCCTCGCTATGCTACTGATAGTCACGACAAGAACAGTTATGAATCAGAAGAATATAATCTAAACATGTATGCTAAAGTAATACTGATGATTATCACTCTCCTTTTTATCAAACATTTTAAAGTACGATTACGAACCATTGCAGTGGAATATTTGGCAATTTTTTCATTTAAAAAAAGCTAGATTGCAAGCGCTTGAAGCGCAATCTCGCACCCAGGCTCATGTTCCTCTTGGTCCTTACCAAGAAACGGCGAGAGGCCCTGGCTGTAACCAATTTTGAGTTGACTTCCGGTCCGTGAATTTCGAACCGGACGTTTGAACTGCGCATGCATGCCTAAATCACATGATGTTTGGGCTACCTTTGGTCTTCAGGGATTCAAATTGTTCGATCAACGGTAATCAATTATTGACCTTTTTAGCTTGAATATAGTAGTTAAATTATTTATCTTTGCCTACTTAAAGTTTACTTAGTAACCCCCCCCCCCCCAAATGTAATTGCCTGTGCTATTTTGTGAGTTTTTAAAACGTTTCTTGATTATCGTTCCACATTCTAGCAAATTTTGAGTTCGATCCAAGCCAATTTAGTGCTTGAAAAATCAACTTATGTCCTGATATTTTCGAGTTTGTTAGCCATTTTATTTCTGGAACAACTCTTTCTATTGTTTTTCCACTGACCAATAAGATTGCTCAAAACATCGGCCGCCGCCAGAGCCTCTTGTTTCTCGGTACTGATCACGTAGGCTCTGGGAACGACAATGGCGCAATCGCCATGACACTTCTTAAGGGTAATACCGCTGATTGCTCGTCCCAGTCTTCCATTCCCCATTCCTGGTCATTCCCCATTCCCTTTTTTTAGTAACATCCCTTGAAAACTCTGAATATTTGCCTCAGACAGTATGACTAAATATGGCGAACAGCCCCGAGGGCCAGCCAAAAAAGCGGTGTACATTACGTTTAATACAAGGTGAGGAGAAGGATAGCCAAATTGGTAGGCTGCTTGTGGCCAACTAGACTGAAATAAACTTGTTAATTGATTGATATTTAAAATGATACAGAAATATATCGCTCCAGCAAGATACAGCTAAATACTAAGCCCTTTGATATGGATTTTTTARGGGAAACTTATTCAATCCTATCGTCTACAATTAGCCTTTTTACAATTTGTGCCTAAACTTATGTATCATACAGTCAATGTCATTAACGTTGTCCACCGAAAAAAGACATTTACACATTTACACATTTAGAAATTTAGACTAAAGAAACATCATGTGTTTCAATACGTACTCTTTGCCCTGTGTGCGTCAGCCTGAACTTTAAATGTAAAATTCAACTCGTGAATCGAAAATCCAGAATGCTCCGACCATTTAGTGAGGATTTAAGATAGAGAATGGTATTTCAGCGTTTGTTTTATGCCAGAACCTTCGAGGAAACACGTGATATTTCTTTTAGTCTAAATGTCTAAATGTCTAAATGTCTAAAAGTGTAGATGTCTAAATGTCTAAATGTGTAAAGGTATTTTTTCGGTGGACAACGTAATGACTTTCGAAATTTCTAAATGCATTTCTAAATTCGACTGCTAATACCTTCTTTATGAAATGCTATCCATTAGGGACATAAAGCCTGGCTTACAAAAGAATAACTCAATTCGCGCCAAACGTCGTTTATAAGATAATTCTTAGGTCCTTCACCCCTCTTATTGAAGTACAATATTTTCATATACAAAAATATTTTTATATTAAGAGTTTTCTTTTCGTATTCAAGCAGTGAGCGCCAAAAACTATTTCCTTAAAGAAAGGCTGTTGTACAAAGCTAAAATCTTGTTAGGGAGGGGGTTCTAAAATTAATAGGGGTCAAAAGTTAAATTGGAGTGTAGGGTAGGGGGGGT